TTCATTTTCTATAGAAGAAATAAACAGTAACTAAGGAGATATCCCACACAAAAAGAAGGCCCAGAAGATTTCACAAGTGAAATCTACCAAGTCTACCTTTATGAAATAATTACATCAAGATCCCAAAACCTGAAAAAAAAAATGCTCCATAAAAATAACAGACTAATCTCACTTAGAAATTTATATAAATTTAGAATTAATAAACATAATTCAATAACATATTCACATGATTGTGATGACTAAGAAGGTTAACTCAAAAAATATATGTGTGATTCAATGTTAGAAAACCATTAGTATAATTCATCATTATAATCCAATTAAGAGAAAAATCATATTATCATCTTCATAAATGCTTGACAAAATTTAATTCAATATTCATTCACATTTAAAATAATAAGCTAGGAATGAAAGATGTTCTTAACATGATTTTGTCTATCTACCTACCTATCCATCTTTATGCACATGTTGCTCTTATTTAATAGAAAAATACTAGAGAGTGTTGTACAAAATTGAGAAAAATAAAAGTCTAGCCACTAACTTCCCTTCCATTATACATTGTACTGAAGTTACTGACCAGTGTAATTAGACATGGAGGTAATTAGATCATGAAGGTGAAACCCCCATGGTGAAATCAATGACTTTATAAGAAGACTTAAGGGAGAAATTACTTCCTCTCTCTTTCTCTGCTATGCACTATGTGAGGACTTAACTGTAAGGCAGGACCAAATTGGTAAGTCCAAGTCCTGTAATTTTTGGACTCCCAGCCTCCAAAAATGTGAGAAACAAAATGTAGCATCTTGTTATAACATCCAGAATTAACACAATGTGTAGAGTGTGCTACCTTTTATCTAACAAATTTGGGTAGACACATAATTTTTTTTTTGAAGATTTATTTATTTATGTATACAAGCACTGAGTACAGTCAGAAGCGCAGGAGGGTGAAATAATTCACCAGAGCCAGGGCAGGGAACAGAACAGGCAGATTGAAGAAATACGCTGCTGAGGGGAGCAGCAGGCCGCAGGAGAGGTCTGCGTGCCATGTGGGACCCTCACCCGGTGGCCACGGATCGAACAGGTGCTGCGAGGCTATGAGAAGCTTTGTACCCCAGCGCTCAACCGCTGTGCCACCAGGGGAGGCCCTAGACACATAATTTTTTAAAGTAGTTAACTATAAGATAGTGGAGGATGCTGAATGCAGGGCTAGAGATAAAAGGAGCATATGTAATTTAATGTAGGAAGGATACTCTTTTCAACATAGGATTCTAAAATAATTAAACATCTGTATGCAGAAAGATGACTCTGGGCATGATCCTTACATATTTCACATAAAATAACTAAACATAATTTTACTAAGGTGACAGGATCAGACCATCCCCTAGTTCTCAGAACTGGTTTCCTCAGGATGCCCCATTCTGGCATGTGGAATGTTTTGAGCTAAGAGCTATGAAATCCCTTGAGACTGAAGAGGAGAGTGTGTCCTTGCCTAAATTCTTCCCTTTCCTAATCTGAGGAAAAATTGTCACATGTCAATTGGCTTCTGCAATTTTCCTGATCAAACAAGCAATCACTGTGCCCTTGTTTAGTGACCTAGAAGAATGTAGTGTGAGTTGTCTCATTTAGTTGTAAATTTATCTCAAAACCAGGTCTCCTCTATTTGAAAATCTCATCTTTAAGAATTAGACAAAGACATTTCCCCCTCTTATCATGTGTAAGGATGAAGTTATCTCCTCCCCTCTCCTATTGAGCTCAATCCCCTCCACACCAAATTTATATCAAATTTATATCCCTTTCTCCCTAATGGATGATGGGACTGTATAATTATTGTAGCTCCCAGAGCACAATTGTTTCCCTCTGATAATCTGTCTGATGCTGTTTTGATTTCTTGTCCATCCTGAGAAGTACCCAGAGGGGTAAGAGTTCCCTGCCTAGGCACATTCAGTCCAGCAATTTCTCTCCTGCATGTCTACCCAAATAAGCTGAAAACACAGATCCAAACAAAATTGTAGTTTGTAGTAGCTTTATTCATAATTGCCAAAAATTGAAAGCAGCCAAGGTATCCTTCAATAGGTGAATGGATAAAGAAACTGGTAGTACATGCAATGGAACACTGTTCAGTGATAAAAAGCAATGAGCTATTCAAGTCATGTTAAAAAAAAAAGGAGGAAGCTATAATGTATATTACTAAAGTAAGAAGCAACATACTCTATGATTCTAACAATATGTTGTTGTGGAAAAAGCAAAACCATTAAGAAAGTAAAAGATAAGTGATTTCTGGAGCTGGGGGAGGAGAGAGGAGATGAATAGGTAGAGCACAGGGTACTTTTAAGTTAGAATACTGGTAAGTATGACACTTTAATGATGGATACCTTTTAAACATTTGTCAAAACGCATAGAACTATACAGTGCAAAAAGTGAGTTTTAATGTAAATTATAGATAATAGTTAATAATTTATCATAATTGATTTATTAATTGTCATTTACCATGCTAATACAAGACTTAAATAATAGAAGAAGCAGGTGGAGGGAGGGAAGGTTAGTATTTGGAACTCTTCTATTTGCTAAGTCATATGCAAATGTAAGAATATAGTAAAAAAGAGTAAATATTTTCTCCAGTTTTATTGAGTTATAATTCATGTATAACATTGTGGAAGTTTAAGGCATATCATGTGATGATTTAATCTTATTATTTATTATAAAATGGTTTTCAGGATCAGTTTAGTTAACTGAAACTTTACATAGTCAGACTTCTTTTTTCCCTTGGATGAGAACTTTTAAGACTTACTCTCTCGGCAAAGTTCAAATGTACAAAATAGTATTATTGACAATTAACTATATAGTTAACTGTACATTATTCTGTACTTTACATCTCCAGAGATTCTTATAACTGGAAGTTTGTACCTCCTGATCAGCTTCAACCAATCCTTTATCTTCCAAGCCTCCCTTTGGTAACCATCAGTCTGTTCTCTGTCTTTATAAGCTTGGTTATTTTAGATTCCACATGTAAATGAGAGTGCAATATTTAACATTCTCTGCTCTCTCTCTCTCTCTCTCTCTCTCTCTCTCTCTATATATATATATATATATATATATATATGTATCACTTAGCGTAATGCCTCGTGGTCAACCAATGTTATCACAATGGCAAGAGTTCCTTTTTCCATCAATGGACTGTTAGGGTGTTCTAAGTCTGGGTTGTGTAAATAATGCTGCAATGAACACAGGAGTACAGATATATCTTTAGGATAGCAACGTTATTTTCTTCATATCTATCCCCACAAATGGAATCACTGAATCATATGGTAATTCATCATAATAGGTCACCATTAATTACTGAAATAAATGAATGTATAAGTATATCTGGCTAGTGACCACATACACCACTCCAAGTGACTGTTTCTTTGTGTCTTATATATTTTTTTTTGAGGTAACATTTGTCCACAACACTGTATATGATTCACAGATATAGATTAACACCTCTTCAAATGTATGTTACCATGCCACACTCATGACCACAGCATAACAAGACCTCCATCTTAGTCCACTGGGTCCCTTGCAACCATACTCTTAACCCTCCTTCCCTCTCTGGTAGTTGCAATTCTATAGCTAACTTCTAGTGATTGTTTGACTCCTCTTTTTTTTTTTCTTCTTTTCTCTCTATTCCACATATGAATTAAGTCATCTGGTATTTGTCTTTCTCCCTCTAACTTATTTCCCTTAGCATGGCCCCCTGTTATTCTATGCAGGTTGTTGCAAATAATAAGAGTTCATCTTTTTAAAATGCTGGGTGGTATCCTACTGTGTGTGTGTGTATCATAGCTTCCTAATCCACTCATTTGTCTTTGAGCACTTAGACTGATTCCATACCTCAGCTATTATAAATAGTGCTGCTATAAACATAGGAGTACATATATTCCTTCCAACATTAGTGTTAATTGGGTAGATACCTAGGAATAGAATGGCTGGATCATATGTTAGATATGATATTAATATTTTGAGAACCATCCATACCGTTTTCCATAGGTATTAGATCTGTCTACATTTTCACCAGTAGATTTCCAGATTTCCTTTTTCTCTACATACTTGTTTCTGGTCTTTTTCATATGGGCCATTTTCCATTTTCACAGCTGTCAAATGATAGCTCATTGTAGTTTTGATTTGCATTTCCTTCATGATAAGTGATGACGAGCATTTTTTGTATGTGCTGCTGGACATCTGTATGTCTTCTTTGGAGAAGTGTATATTTAACTTCTTTTCTGCCACTTGGAGAAGTATATATTTAACTTTTCTGCCATTTTTATTGAGTTTTGTTTTCTTTCTGTTGAGTTGTAAGATTTTGGTTTTGTTTTTTTTTTTGTAAAAGTTGGATATTAACCCCTTATCAGATATATAATGTGCAAATATTTTCTCTCATTTGGTAGAACCTGGCCACCAGGAACCACTCATTGTTTTTAAAACTTTACAAATAAAAATTAAAGAATGAATATTTCACCCTGCCTTTCTAGATGAATGGTAACTAAATAGTAGATGAGATGTTTATTTCACTTTATGAAATAATTCCAACTAAAAGTGAAGAAAATAATAGAACTAGAATATCATTTTGCAATCCTTAGTGATTTAATTAATCTAGGAATTGATCACCAGAAAAAGAAGAAACATGTGGAAGTTGTCTCTTGATTGAAGAACAAAATATCATCTTTGATGAAGACTTATCAAACCCTAGGTCCAAATATCAATTTACAAACATATTGACTAAAGAAATACATTAAATAGCATCATAGGAATAAAATCCATAAACTTCCAGCTCTGCAAAAATTTAGGGGACAACCAATATAGCTTTGTTGACAATAGCAAAGAAAGTGAGAGAAAAATTATGAAAAGGCAACCTATACATTAAACAGATTTTTATACATTTTTAAAGATTTATTTATTTTTTCATACAAGAGCTGGGGTATAGGCCAGAGGTGTGGGAGGGTGAGAGGATTCACCAGAGACAGAGTGGGTAATGGAACAGGCAGATGAAACACACTGCTGAGGGGAGTAGCGGGCAAGTCAGGAGAGGTCTGCTGCGCCATGTCAGGAGAGATCTGCTGCACCATGTGGGTTGCTCCTTGGCCTCGGATCAAAGTTGTGCTGCAGCTGCTACGAATAGCTTCATAGGTTGCAACTTAACCCCTTGCACCACCAGGAAGGCCCTAAACAGATTTTTAAAGAAAAAATTATAATTCATGGTCCTTATTTTAGTCTTTAAAAGCAAAATAGCCTTCAAGTTTAAACTCTTTGTATTTACTGATATAAAAATGGTGTTTATCTTTGAGAGATACTAAATTTTTTTGGATAAAATGATTTATTTTGGGGGGCTTTTGCTTCAAACTAATTCAAGAAGAGCAAAAATCTTTTGGGAGGGGGTATCTCAGCCACTGCTGATAGTCATAAGGTTGGTAGTGAGTCCAAGGCTATTCTTTTTTTTTTCCTGTTTGCTTAGAATATATTTTAAAATTTTCATCATCATTCATTTTTATTGATATTACTAATGCATAGTAAAATACATTTGTTCTCTGAGCTGTTTTAAAAATAAACCAGTAGTTTTCCAGTGGTTTTAAAATACATATGTGCTTATAAGATAATAAGGGAATAGTGGGGAAATAGGAGTAGAAGACAGACTTCTTTGATTTGTAGACTTAATGTTGGAGCCATAAAAATATTTCACATGATATAAAATAAAATTCAATCAAAAAGAAGTCATTAAAAATCTAAAAATGAGACAAATGAAGCTAACTCAGTCTCCAATTGGTGGCGTAATCACACAGAGGAGATCTATTCTAAATGACTTTAAAGCACAGTAATTTCATTTTACACTCTCAGTGGGAATTAATCTAAGAATAAACCATTTTTGGTAATCATATTTTGGTAGTAAGTAATGGTATTATCATTCTAAAACTGGCATATTTTTAATCCAGAACAGAGCAGATGAGTAGTCATTTTCTGATCACCGAAAACATTTTCAGCATGGGAGAAAATACATACTGATGAAAATTTATAAGGATAGGTAAGTACTCAGTAGTTCTGAACTTGAGTTGGAAGTAAGAGTATCAACACATAATGTTTTATTTTTTAAAAATATGTATCCCTTGGCTGTCTGTACAAGTAGGTTTCTGTATTTTTTTTATCATTACAAACTCTCATGATGACATTTTCTACCACTGATTGAAACCCTTGTGATTATATTGGGTCAGCTGGTATAATCCATGATAATTTTATCATCTCAAGATACAAAGTCCTTTTACTATATAAGGTCAATTATTTGCAGATTCTGAGGATTAAGGTGTGAATTTTTTCAAGGAGTAATTATTCAGCCTATTATACTCTGCCATGTAGAGTATAAAACACACAAGGATCCCACATACAAAATACATTTATTCACCTCCACTCCAAGATCAGGGAATGTCTCAACCCATTGGAATCAATTCAAATCCAAAATCATATCTAAATCTCATCAGTTCAAAAGTCGAATGCCTCTTCTTCTATATTAGGTATAGGTGAGACTCTGAATATAATCCATGTTGTAACAAAATTCCTCTTCCTGTGAACTCAAGAAATAAGCTTCTAAAATACAATAATAGTAAAGAACTTTAATAACAGTTACAGATATTTCAATTTAAAAGGGGAGAAAATGAAATGCAAGAATGAAGTCATTGTTCCCAAGCAATTTTGAAATCCAAATGGGCATTAGTTTTTAAGTCCTGGAAATCACTGTATGTGTCCCAGTGTTTCACCCTCCAAGCTCACAGCTCTTCCTTCATAATCAACCTTCTCTTGTCACAAGTGATAGCACACGTTTGCAACTGAGTCACTTTGTCAGCCTCTCTTCTGCCTGCAGAGCTTTGAAAGTCCAGCGGTTTTCTTTCATTTTATTCTCTATATCAACATTTCATACCAAGTTGGTAATGTCTCTGCCATTACAACTTTCTCAAAAAAAATTGTGGATTCTTCCAGTACTAACAATGATTTAGCACATTAGATAATAATGATAGTATCAGTGAACATTTCTAGTACTCAAATAGTAGAAAACATGTCACACCAAAAGGAACCTGATTTATTGTAGAAATAGCTAGTAGTTTAGGATGGGGGAATACGAGATTAGCACATCAGAAAGTTTATCATGCAAAAAGTAGAGAAGTTACAAAAGCCTAGTTAGTTTAAGCCAAAATGATTGAGAAATCAATGTGATCTACGATGAGAAAATCTGAGCATCAATAAGGACAGTAATGCTTGAAGTATTGTAATAAAATATGTATTTAAATCCATGAGTTTATAATGATGCCAAAATGAAAATATGAATGAATAAATGAATGAAATACAAACAAGCAAAATAATAGAAAAATTTATTGGTCCTTTCAGGTGAATGCAATTAATAAATTTTAGTATTTGAAAATTGGTAGTAAAGTGAAAGAATCAAAAATCAATTTTATTTGTTCCATGTGATTTGTATCTCAGGGTAACAGTTGAAAATTATAACAAAAACAGAGATAATCAGATAAAGTGTGTCTTATAAATTTTTCCAGAAAATTTAGAAAAGAGATAAATCTCTCTGACTAATGTTATGAGACTAGTGTAATCTTTAAAAACAGGAAAGGAAGTGAGAAAAGAGAGGCAAAAGAAGAAAATAAAAATTTAGGTGCGTGCTTCATAAAACATAGTTGCAAAAATTATCCATAAAATGTTAGCTATTTAGATTTAGCACTGTAATAATGCATCACAACCCCAAGAATGCAGGTGTAATTTTTCATGAGAAAATGCATGAATACGTTTTCCCATTACAAAAAAAAAATACATCATTACCTCAATAGTTTCAGTAAAAGAATAATTTCATTTCAAAATTACCAAAAAAGAAACAGAATAATGCCACACATTTTTAAGAGAAAAGATAATCAATGAAAACTGAACCTGAAATGACTCAGGTGTTGAAATTATCAGAAAAGGAATTAGAAATATCTATAGTCAATGATGTAAAGAAAGATATACTAACAATGAATGAAAAAATAAGCATTCTCCACACAGAGATAGAAATTGTACATAGAAGTTATAGAACTAAAAAATATGACTGAAATAAAAATATCAATGACTGGTTTTATGTAAGAATGGAAGTAGCAGAGAAAGAGGATAGAACTGAAGTTAAATTGTTCAGTTGCTTCCATACCCTAGAGCACAAAAGAAAAAAAAAAAAAAAACAATTTATCTGAACTTTCTCCTTGAGGTTTATGTTAACACAGTAGCTTATTTGCAGATGAGCCAGCCTGAGCAAGCAGAGTTAAGTTGGTAATGCTCATTGTTATCATCAGGCATTAGTCATTCCTCTCCTTGTAATACATTTGCATGAAGCTTCCCCCACCCCAAGCCTGGTGTCATGATATATCAATGTCTATGTCCATTGTATAACTAGCCCATTGCTCAATAACAAGGAAGCTGGAATGTAGGAATTATTCAATGTGAAGATAAAAGAAAAAAGGTAGGGGAAAAATAGACCAAATTTTGAGAGCCATTAGGACAATATAAAATGGACTGAGAGATGTATGTTTGTAGTTCCAGGAGAGGAGAGAGCAAATATTTAAAGGAAATATTTAAAGGAATATTTAAATGAACAGGAAAATATTTAAAGAAGAAGTTAATACACAATTTTGGGAAACATCATTGTGTCATAAACCAAGCTCCCTAAACATAGTCATATGTGAAATTTGTACTCAAGCACTACACTGAAGCACTCAAGCTAATTGCATTCAGGGAAATGGATGCACCTTGACTTTTCTTAGTCATTCACAAATGTGTTGAATGAGCAGGACAAATAAATGAGGGGAAATACACTTTATTTAGTAGATGACAGATGATGTAGGGGATACTAGTTCACTGAGGATTCTAAACTCTTGATTTGCTATTCTATTTTAGTTATACATAATTTCTAAGCAATGTCAATCACTTAATCATTAAAGATGTGCTTATCTCTCATCCTTTATATATATACACCACTCCTCTCCACTATCAAATAACTTTGAGAACAACTTTGAAACTTTCATTCAAACCACATGATAAGCTAAGGATGCGCTTATCATTCCCTTTCTTAATGAGTAGGCAGATTTGAGGTTATCTTCAATAGTTCACTAAGTTAACTGTTGGTGGCAGAGCTAAGTTGGTAATGCTCACTGTTAGTCATCATGCATTACTCATTCCTCTCCTTGTAATCCATTTGCATGATAAGCTACTGGATACAGTCGAGACTGTATCCTAGACTTAAAACAGAAGGCATCCTGCACGTCTTTGTTTCTGAGGCATCCTCAGGGATAGATAGCTAAGCCAAGAAGACATTCAGATACCAGTTATCATCTAATTGAGTTGCATAATATTCCCAAGTAGATCTCTAACCAAAAGTCCCCTGGACACCAAAGTCTACCTCTGAGAGGTACATTGGGAAGTTTGAAACAATTTTTCTCATCTTCTGAAGCACTCTTAGTTTCCTAGGCCATTACCTCAGCAAAATAAGCTCTTAGAAGGTCTTTAATTTGAATGAGGCCTCTCACCAAATGAAGCAAACATTGTACCAGACTAGAAAGCTTAGAGAATGCCTCGAAGTACCAGTCTTATTTCATAACGTACTTTCTCTCTTTTCACGTTTCCCCTCCTGTGGCCTATGTATTCAACAACCCAGCATATTAATTCTGTTCCTCAAATGCTCAGTTCTCATATGTGTTAGCCTTTTCATGTTCTCTCTGACACAATCCAATATGCATTATCATCCTACTCAATCTCCCCCTAAATAGGACTCACTCCATCCTCTTCAGGAGCAGTCTAGGCTCTGCTAGGTAAAAAAAAAAAAAGAAAGAAAGAAAAGAAAAAGTGAAAATGGCTGGTAAGTAATTACAGGATGTGAAAGCCTCCTCTGCTGTTTACATTACAATTCAGGCCTTCAGAATCTTAACCCAAATGATTGTATAACTAGAATATTTCCCATACTCTGGAGGAATCCATGGAAGAACTGATTTTAGAGAGAGCTTTGGACAGGAAAGAGCTTCAGTGGCCAGAACTCCAATGCTCTTAGTCATTTCTAAAATAGCTGATCTGTCTTTTCTAGCCTTCAAGTTGGGGTTCTGAATCAGATTTAAGAGAGGAGAGGACAGTCTACCATTTTAAATTTTGAAAAGAACAAACAGGAACAAAAATCAGTGAGGTAGAGAGCTGTGGATACTCTGTAGGTATAAGCCCTGCTGATGACTTATTCTATATCAGAAGATCTCTTTTCCCAGGCTGCCCCAGACTAGAGGGAGAGGGGTGGGGTAGGGGAGAAGCTTTACTTTGCACATTGGTCTCAGTATTTCTATTGTTGCATGTCACTATTGTGTAGTTATTAAGTACCCTTGAAAATGTAAAGCATCTACACACACACACACACTCACTCACACTCACATCCAAACTGTCATATCTACAGCCAGTGTTGATCATTAACATTGTTCCTCAGAAGTATTATAGAATTTTCATTATGACAGAATGAGTTTTTCTTCCTGTTCATTTTAAAACATCCCTGTCTGTTGACTTGTTCAGCCTCTTGATGGGAAGCAGAGGTTTATAGACATAGGTTGGCCCCACTAAGCAACAAACACTGCAGGATGCTTTTATATATATATATAATGAGAACTCCCCAAATCACAGTCTTGGAGGAATTCAGGTATCTAAACTACTGACGTATTCAATTCACTCAGCGAATATACTAGTAAATAAAATAACCTTTAAAATAAATCTCATTGGTCAGTTTCTAAGAGTTTGCAGAAATCGAAATGTCTCTTCATAATCAAATTCCTTTGGTTTTCTTTCGTACTGTTTCAACTTTGTATATATAAATTAAGATTTAAAGCTTATAGGTAATTTAATAAACATTTAATGGAGAATGTTTGTCATTAGAAGAAATGTTTGTCATTATACACTAGGCCCCTATATTAAGAAAGAACAGTAGCCAGAAATATTGTTTTCATTTCCTCAAATGTTGAAACCAGAGCAGTCTATGGGTGAAAGTAATGCTGAGTCTGTTTAGCTGAAAAGAAAGAAAGCTGTAAAATGGAGGGAGGAAGGAAAGCATGAAGGAAAGAAAGGAGGGTGGAAAGAGAAAAAAGATTATCCATATTGGATTTCAGTTCTAAATTAGCACTTTAGTTTATAATATTTTTAAATCCCCCACTGAGGGGTTTAGTAGAGGATAATTGCAATATTTGAGTCTCTGAATCAATTTAAGTCACATTAATTATATTTAAACTTTAAAACTGTTAGTTTTAGCAATTCTGTAGTATTCCTGATTTCAAATGAACACATTTGTAATCATGAGAGCTACTGTCTTGATGTAGAGGCACAGGGAGATAAAGATCAGCAACGGTCACACTACATTATTATCCAATTGTGCTTAATGGAGAGTTCATAGTGGATGGAAATGATAAGAATTCTTGTTTCAGCCTAAATCAATGTTTTTCCTTGCTTAAAAAGCTACAAAAATATTGAGTGAGTGTTCCCCTTTCATATCAGAATTAAAGAATGTAATTACAATCT